ATTAACATAATGCAGAGTATAGCAATATGTTCTGCCCACGTCTTTCAGGGGTTATATTCACAGTCAACCCCTGAGATGCTAAGAATGCAAAGATTAATAAAACACTGCTGAGCAGGTTGCCTACTGAGTGGACTATACATGCTTGTTTATGGCACACACGTCACTCACCAGCCCTGAATGAAGAACTCTGGAATGCAGAGCCTCTGGCTGTGCATAAACGTGGCTACAGAAGGAAGCCTGCTTATCTGGGGAATGTGCTACTGGCTGATTGATCATGAAAGGAGGCTGAAAAGAAGTGGTGGCTGCTCCTTCCCACAATCCGATAAGCTGTTACACAGAGATAAACAGTTGCATTGAATTAAGCATGTTTGTCTATTTTTCAATGCTGACTTTTAACTTCCTGTTCTTTCAGTTTCTTGGGGCTTCATTTTTAATAATGCTAAGTCTTTTAAAAGTATGCACAACCCTACAGTCTTAATCATTTCAAGTTCTGCTTTAAGGAAAAGGTAAATAAGAAAATATTGACAGTGAATTTAAACATTACTCTAATTGATGTTTAACTGGTAACCGTCTAAGACTACATGAAGTGTTACTTCAGGATGCCCTGTCAGAGGGCTTAAAATTATTTCACATGAAATAGGTGTTAGTCAACTTGTTTTTAAGTACTGTATATCTAATATTTCAATATATAAAATATGCAATGAATTGCTTTTTCAATCAAATACTTAATAACAATTACCATGTTAAAGGAAACCCATGGCAAACTTATTATCAATATTTTCACAAATGGTGGAGATAGTTGGTAGAGAGATAAGTAGTTTTCCATCACTCTCTTTATAAAAATATACAAGCATTTAAATTATTCGACACCAGGCATAATGTTCATTTGTTTACAACTAAAGTTTCTATCTTGGGTATCCAGTTCATGGCCCAGCACACACAAAGTAGGTGTTCAATAAATATTTGATGAGTGAGTGCATCTGTGAAGCTTTGAAACGGGATAATAGGCATGTTCCTACTTCAGTATTCTCCTGACTGAAAACCAGTAAATGTAGGAATGTAGGTTAACTTGAGGCCACATCTTTCCTGGCTTTGTACAAATCTGCCTCAGCTACAACTTCCAAATTCAAAGGCAGCATTTTCTCCTGCATGTGTACAAAATACTACCTGCTGGCAGTCCTGTCATCAAAGAACATAATAGGGGAAGAACATTTGGGATGATTAGGTAGGTAATGAAATAGAATGACTGATTTCTCTAATTTCCACTTTCTATGTCACAAGTAAAATAGTAGAGTCATTTGCAAATATCATTATTGTGGATGTCTATATTCCTTCAAGAAATATTTGTTGAATATCGTCTGGATGGCAGACACTATGCCAGGCCCTGGGTACACAAAGGTAAATACAACACAGGCCCTACATATGAAACAGATAGACTGACACATACTATGACAGTCTGACACACACTACTACTTTCAGCACGATGTGATGATTCATTTGAAGCTTTCTCTGGCTAAGAGCATGTTCTTAAGAGAATTAAGCTTCCCATAAACTATAAGGTCATCTTTACTCTTTGTATAGTCAAATTTCCTTCATATTCAAGTGATATCTACATTTTTAATAGGAAAACGGTAACACTGCATTGATGACCTTCTTTTAATTAACTATTCTCTTTCATTAGGCACATAAAACAATTATTTTGTAGAGCCAATTTCAGTTTCTTTATCATTAGTGATAATGATCGCAGTGTCTTTTACCTTCCATGGCAGTTTTGCTTCAAAGGGAATTGCACATAAAGATCAAAGAGAGACCAGAATTGACAGGAAACAAACAAGATTCTACTACACTATCAACCTCTTTAAAAATCGTTATTATTATTCGATTTTCTGGTGCCCTATGGCAGATCTCCCAGAGAAGCTCTGGGTTAACACTGAGTGTTCCAATCACCACCACAGTGAGTGTGGAGGTTCACACCTATTAAAGAAACAAAACCAAACCCAGGTGACGTGTGTGTCTCAAGAAAACAACCCATCACTTGCTACACATAAAAGGAATAGGAAGCATGTGGAAAGCCAGGTTTTAAAGGGCAATGTCAATAGGAGAAGGAAGAAATGTCAAAGATGCTGAAATAAACACTGGACTAGTTCTTGTCTGGATGTTTTTGTTGCGTTTTGGTTCTTTTCCTCCTACCTTAAAAATCCTTCATGTTGTGCATTTCATTTATTTTAAATGAGCAAATAAATAAATATGAATTGTAATAGTAAATGCAAATATTTCTTGGTATATCTACAGCAGGAAGACAAAGCAAGAAATAAACAGTTTGACTGAGGAAGGAAGATAGGAAAAAATCCTTGGCCTTTTCTGGTACTGACCACGAAATCTTAAATGCTAAGTTCATATTTACTGAACAAACAGTGTAGAAGGGCCTTCCCAGTAAAGAGACCAACTTGTGCAGGATGATGATGTCATCATTATCCTCTGAAGTGAAGAGTTCAAATAACTGAAGCATAAGGTTTGAAGGTAGAGGTGGGATGAAGCTGATGGGCCTGGTGAACAATAAGACTTGATAGCTTGCCAGATTCAAGATCATGGAGCATGAAGAAGTCCTTCCTTCAACCTAGAGGCAAGGGGAAGTCAGTATAAATTAATAAGAGATGGGCACTCTGAACAGCAATTAAGATTATACATTACACAGAGTATCTCCTCCAATGGGACACCATGCAATGGCTAATATTTACTAGTATTAATATATTTGAGAGCACACTGGTGATGTGCCATTTAGACAGTCGGACTGAGCCATAAGCAGCCAGGAGAGACCCCTCCTCCATAAAACCTCACAAATACACCCTCATGCACAAAAGTGGGAGAGCAGACCCACATACTCGACCACACGTACAGGAGCATGCAACTGTGTGTTGTCAGGAAACTGCTGCAGGAGTCTCTGCTCTACTGTCTCTCACCTGCCTCTGAATATAGTAAGCTTACATCACCAAGAGGATGGGCAAATTGAGAGAGTGTGCTGGCCAGTGCTTACCCTCGTGCCAGGGAGCCACGTGTCAAGAGTACAATAGCCCACTGATTCATGTGCACATGCAACCAAACAGCCTCACACGAGGATTTTTTTGAAAAGTCCCCTGGCAAGACCCCAGCCTACTGTCAACAACATGATCCCCACCTTTGCTTGATTCATAAAAGTTGCATATGTTCAAGCTTATCATGTAAAAAGGAGCTTGATTGAGGGAACTGGCCTAAGCTCCAGTGTACTGTGCAAACCCCAGCACTTATGCTTACCATTCTCCCTGAAATGTGAGGCCCTGAAATGTGAGTTAGGAGCTGCCTAACTCCAGCTAGAGAGGGGAGCCACCAGGCATCACACTTTCTTCAAAATAGATGTTATATCAATGCTATAGGTTATACAATAAAAAATTGTGTACGTTTGCATTTGAGGAAGGTTATCTTTTCCTAATTCACAAAAAGATGCTTTGGGGGCCAGCATCAGCTCCCTAGGAATCTACTACTATGGTCCTGCTAGAAATAACAAGAGTCTGACATTACGGGTTTTAAAAAAAGAGGACGTGGCTTCAAAAGATGTTAAGCAGGTAGACGCTACAGAGCATTGTGGCTGATGGGGAAAAAATAAGAAAGGTCGAAATAGGAAGGGCTCTTCTGTGCAGGTTTCTGGCTCAGAAGCCTGGATACAGAGAAGAACCATTCACAGAGATAAGAGTAGACCCTGAGGTATTGGAGGATGTGTGGGTAGAACTGTTTATGTGTTATGTTTGGTCACTAGGTCATCTCCAACTTTTTGCAACCCCGAGAACTGCAGCACACCAGGCTTCCCTGTCCTTCACTATCTCCTGGAGGTTCTCAAACTCACATCCATTGAGTCAATGGTGCCATCCAACCATCTCATCCTCTGTCACCCTCTTCTCCTGCCCTCAATCTTCCCCGTATTTCCTCAGTCTTTTCCATTGAGTCTGCTCTTTGCAGCAGGTGGTCAAAGTATTGGAGCTTCAGCTTCAGCATCGGTCCTTCCAATTCAGGGCTGGTTTCTGACTGGTTTGATCTCCTTGCTGTCTAAGGGGCTCTCAGTTGTATGCTAGAGAGCTGTTTAGCAGGCAGTTAGCCTAGGAGACTGTTAAGTGGTTGAAACTGTGAACACTAGTTGAGCTAACCCAGGAAAGGAGTATTCAGTACTGGAATTGAGATGTAATCAGACATGAAGCATGAAAACAGAAACCTAGGAAGCTGAAACAGGTAGAAAAGAATTAAGATTTCAATTAAGTAAAATGAGGACTACAAAGGGTTAATGGAGTTAAAAACTAGAAGATCAGTAGTAGCTTTCTCCAAGGCCATTTTGTCGAGGCAGAACCTTCAACGCAGTGACTGAGAGTATCCGGGGGAGGACAGTGGGACAACAAACTCTACAGACAATTCTTGTGAAGAGGTCAGCTATGAAGGGAGGATGGGGCTATGTTAGCAGAGATGCAGAAACAGGGACAGGGTTACCATTGGATTGTGTTTTATTTTATTCCCAAATGGAAAGTGAAGTGTGGATAAATGGAGTTGTTTATAAATATCGTTGAAAGACAGGGAATAAAGACTCATAGCCAAGTTGCTTCCCTACCAATAGTAAAGTAAATGACTCAGTAGAGATTACTGAACTGAACATTAGAGAAACCAGAGTCGTAGGACTGGGTGAGAATACTTGGGAGCATTCCTGGTGCACTGCTCCATATGTGTTTAGTAGATAGTAGCTGGAGCCATTATCCCATCAAAGGTCTGAATGGGGATCATCAGTATAGTCACTGTTGCCTTCTTTACCATTTTTGTTCATTCAATTTTTATCTCTTTAGGAATTTGGTGACAGCCTCTGTTAGTCTGCTCCTCCTCTACACGAAGGACAGACCAAAGATCCAGTTTGGCAATGAGAGAGGAGGACTAGCAGGCAGCATTGGCGCCATCCACTGACATCTCCCAGAGGTACAGACACAGGACTCATGAAGATGTTGACAAGACTCCAAGTTCTTACATTAGCTTTGTTTTCAAAGGGATTTTTACTTTGTTTAGGGGACCATAACTTTCTGAGGAGGGAGATTAAAATAGAAGGTGACCTCGTTTTAGGGGGCCTATTTCCTATTAATGAAAAAGGCACTGGGACTGAAGAATGTGGGCGAATCAACGAAGATCGAGGGATCCAACGCCTGGAAGCCATGTTGTTTGCTATTGATGAAATTAACAAAGACAATTACCTGCTCCCAGGAGTGAAGCTGGGTGTTCACATTTTGGATACCTGCTCAAGAGATACCTACGCATTAGAGCAATCACTGGAATTTGTCAGGGCATCTTTGACTAAAGTGGATGAAGCCGAGTATATGTGTCCTGATGGATCCTATGCCATTCAAGAAAATATCCCACTGGTCATTGCAGGGGTCATTGGCGGCTCTTACAGCAGTGTTTCCATACAGGTAAGACTGACAGTGTTGTTGATAAAATACTGTATCTCTTTGTTTTATGTCTTTGGGGGAACAAAGGGAAAATATCCTAATAGCTTCATCAATGGCTGATATTAACCATGCAAATGTAAGTCTCTGGTAATATAGGTTTGCAGATAGAACAGTACGTGAGCAATGAAAATTGTTTACCAATATAGCAGGTAGCTAGTGCAGCATAATGAGCTACTCCAAAATTCAACAACAATTATTAATTACTATAGTTTATAAGCCTGAAGACTGGCTGGAGTGAGCTGATCAAGGCTAGGTTTAGCTGCAGGTAGCTCTGCTCCAAGTTTGTCCCTTATCCTCCACCTGGAATCAGTCAGCTAACCCAGGCATGTTTGTCTGAGTGATGACAGAGGTGCAAAAGAATGCAAATTTAACTGCACAGGCCCCTTCCAAACTTCTGCATGCCTCACAACTGTGAACATCCCACCAGCCAAAGCAACTGACAAGGTTCAGCCAGAATCAAGGAGCAGGGAAATAGGTGCCACCCACAACCCACATGCTGCTAAATTACATCACAAAAAAACGTGGCTACATTGCAGAGCCATGACTTCAAGTCATCAATACAAACAAGCACAAGAAGGTACAAAATCACTGAGCTCTTATTTTTTTCCATACTAATTTTTTCCCAAGCATTGCTTTATTCAGAGATAAATTATAAAAAAATTTCTCATGGTATAAACCTGAAAATGTATGCAGAGATGCTAGATAATTACTACCAAAAAAAATTAGGGGGAACAATTTAGCACATAACTTAAATTAGATAAAAAACTGATAATTGGTTCTCATAATTTTGTTAGGGAAAGAAGGAACATATTAGTCAAACTTCTACAGTGCTCACAGGTCACAGAATTAGGGATGGAAAAGAGCTACGAAATCATCCAGCTCAAAATTCTCATTTTCCCATGCCCTAGAAATATTGGTTTCATGAATATTCCCATTGGTAGATAGCACATGAACTAGAACTTATACTGATCTTTTGCACTTTTGGGCTCTTTCAACTCTCCTATGTGATTTTTATGTTACAGAAGTTCAATATTTTTCCTGGGGAGTGTGGCAGTAATACAAGTCCATAAGATATGAATCATATACTTTGCTTCCTACCAAATGACTGTCGTCAAAATGCCATACACTAAAAGAAGTCATATTACACCCTTGTTGTCTGCATATGTCACCAACCATTTAAATTGGCTTTACTCACATTGGAATAATCTTATTTCTATATCAGAGACTCATAGCCTTTAAAATTCTACATAGAGTTTTGTGCTGCTCTAAGCAACTAGTGCAGTTTTTTTTCCCTTCCAAAAGCACACACTCATATTATGAATAATAGGATAATTGATTTTTCATAAATATCCTTTGACTTCATTAGATGGATAGAAAATACTGCTCATCTCAAAGCATATCATGTTAATTGTGCCACTATTTCCACACTTGAATAACAAAAGATGGAATTGCTATTTGAGAAGAGAGAACTAAAATGTATATTTGTCATGCTTCAATAATAATTTTATCAGATAAGTGCCAAACATTTTATAAATATTTATATTGTACTCAATATTACCACTAGTAAAGGACCACAAATATGTTTTTCTGACCTTAGTTTCTCCCAATACAGTAAATAGCACTCCACAGCAGATGTGTAAATATATATTTATCCAAAGTAATTAACAAACTGTGCTAGGCAAATAAAATTTTAATCTACTTTTACTTTTTTATTACCTATAAACTCCTCAAAAGAGGTCAGATTAAAAATGTAGGTTATTAAAACCCTGCACTTATTCACAAGGGGAAAACCCACTTTATCATCAAAGGACCTGGCTTATTTGTTCACTTATCTGGTCTATATCACTATAAAGCACAAACGCTGATATGGTTTTTGTCTCCACATTATACATTAGGAAACTAAAACTGTCGTGTTACATTGAAAAGGACATCGATTTAGGCAGCACCAAATGGAACTTGAACTCCAGCTCCACAATTCACAAAAAGTGAGTGTTAGTCGCTCAGTCACATCAGACTCTTTTCGACCCTGTGGACAGTAACTCATGGCTCCTCTGTCCATGGGATTGCCATTTCTTCCTCCAGGGGATATTCCCCACCAGAATCAAACCTATGTCTCCTGCAATGCAGGCAGATTTTTTATCATCAGAGCCTTCAGGGAAGTCCCAATTTACAAGCTTATTTATAAAATAAGGAAAATACTATCCACTTTAAAAAGTTATTGAGAGGATAAATTGAGAGAAGCCATGGGAAATGCTTACCAAAAAAACTAACAGATTCAATATCAGTAACTATTATGAACCTAAAATCATTGGAAAAATCTGTGGAAGAGCCACCTTTAACACCAGCTCCAAGAAGTCCCAAGAAATTGTTGCTGGTCCCCCATGTGCCTTGTCAGTCAGGTAATCTGTACGAAGCTCCCTGGGTGCATCCTGCAATATCACAGGGGTTAGAGAGACCACTCAAGTCACAGAACTCAGCCCTGACCTCGAGGAACCTAAATTCTGGCTATGGATACAGTACTATTATGGAATAACAGTGACTACACTTCTGAATACATTCAAGGGGCTTACATGGTAAGAAATGACCTCTGGGAAAGTTTTGAGGGTGACTGAGAGAATGAAAGCTGCACTAGAGAAAAGCTAATTGGTCCACAGTCTGACTGAAACACTGGATCTGAGGAAGTCAATCAGAAAGACATGGTAGGAGTCTGTGAGCAAGAGGACAAAGACCTTGACAGCAGTGAGGGGGTGAGCCGGAGAAGAAAGGAGAGAGAAGGCTTCACTGGCCCTTCTCAGTCCCCAGATGCTCAGGCTCTGATTAGGCCCCCACTGGTCCCCTCAGCCAAAGGAAGTGGGGAGGTGGGGCCATCCGTCTACACCCTTATCTCCAGGCTGCCTTCCAAGGAATCCTTCACCATAGCCTTGCTTTGAGCTAAACATCGTGAATGAAAAGCAGTCTTAGGGGTTCTTACATAGCTAAGAATTCAGGTGTGTTACCCTTGTGAAGCCTATCTGTTCTTTAATAAGAATTCTTTTAAAGAAATAGTCAATAGCAATCCAAAGCAATAAATTCCTGATGGGGACTTTGAGATACCCTTGTGCCTACATTAATGAGAGAAGTGTTTTAGAAGAGAGGCATTTTCTGGGTGCCCCTTACCCTCACTTTTGCTCAGGACAGATTCTGATCCTCTGCCCTGGTGTCTGGTAACCATGGTGACAGTGTGCAGCTGGTAGCCACAAAGATGCATGCCCGGTGGTCACCTCTGCCATCCATTTTCAACTGCTTTTAACTTCTTGAATAATTACTGGAAAATATCTGAGCTTGAATTGAGCTGGGGGGAGAAAAGAGAGCTAAACTGTAGAAAAAAATATATATATATATATACTAAGATAAATCCACCACACAATTTCAAAGACTCCACTCATTAAATTGTTGCATCCAGTACCAAACCACAGCACAGAGTTTTTAGTCACAAAATCACTCCTGAGAGCCAGACTTATCAAGAATGATAAAATTTGTGCATCTTTTCTTTTGTGGTTGGGTCAGTTTAGATATTATCATCTCCCCATTCGGCCGGAATAGCTTTACTGGTGGGATGGCTTCAGGAGGTACTTTTCTCTCCAGTTTCCTCTCCTCTCATTATCTTCCTACTAAAGAAGAATTCCTCTAGAAATCAGCAGAGGAGATACCCTCCACTGTATTAGGTCATACAACAGGCAGCCTGCAGACAGCAAAAACCCAGTGAAAGGAGAAATTCTTAATGATTTGCTGAGTTAATCTGTATCACCATTGACAAAAAACAGAATATTTTCTTGACACTCTCAATAAGTAGACAAACCACTCTTTGCTGGTCCATTGTCTAAAGCAACAGAATTGATTTTTTAATTTGGTAATCAATGAAAGCTAGAAGCAAAATCCTTCTTTATTAGCAAATATTCATGGGGTCTATTCACCACCCCCTCTCGTGAATAAGCTTCTTTTCAAAGTATTTTAAAGATTTTATTCCACTCTCCTCTATAAGCCTGCAACTCACCCACTTGGGGAAAATACTATTCAAGTAGAAAAGCAGGTTGGTTGCCTTTAGTAAGGCAATTGTCTACGTGGTACTATTCTGAAGCAGTGTTTACGCTTGTGCTTTTTCAAACACACTGTAGTTAGAGCTTCTAAGTTGTTCAGTCAAAAAAAAAAGTCTCATGAATCATTCCAAAATGTTCCTCACTCCTTTCAGGAGATGTCTATTTCCTTGGTCTTTCTTGCCTTAGCCAGAGCAAGGTCAGCTGCAACAGAACAGGCATAAGTTGACCCAGTTATTATTGCGTCCCTAAGTGTTAAAGTGGCCTCGGCAACAAATGGAAATTTGGGTTAAATAGCTCATACAAAGGGCAGAAGAGAGCCTTGAAAGGATCCTACTGCCTCTTTTCCATGCCTGACACAGTGAAATCTTTTTTCAGAATTCTTAGCACTAGCCACATTCCAAGAACTCCCTGACCCTGGGAGGTGGTCATTATATCGTTTATCATGACATGGATTTGGACATGCCATGCATTGCTCACATCATGTCCCTGAGAAGAGTAACTCAAAGTAAATCCCTTGCAATAAGTTTTATCTAGATTTTATCCAGATTTTATCTAGATAGGGTATGAAGAATAGCCTACAAAGACACTAAGCAGCCTATTCCTCCTCCTCCACCCAATTCCACGGTGAGAAAGTGGACCAGCACTCCAGTCAATCTATATTAAGTATTGTCCTCCCTCAATGATTCATTCCTCCTTTAATTCAAATGCTGTGGGGAAGAATCACACATGAATTGCTATTATCATAGGAACATCAGAAAACCAGTTGAAGGACCAGGTGTTACAAAAGGCCTCATAGGGTTAGCTGTGTCCAAGTATCAGACAGACTCCAGAATGGAAAAATAATGCTTTTTTTTCCTGTGGATAAATAAATAAATTTAAATTAGA